ATATATATATATATATATATATATTGACGAAAGACAAGTAGCCTATTATTATTACACGAACATAATAATAATAATGAGAAGAGGAAACAATAACACCGTAGCAAAAGAATATTTATTCTTTTTGATCGATCGTTCCTGGAAAGAGCATCATCAAAGATTTTACAATAAGCAAAATTCGTATTTAAGACATGAGCACAACCGAGCGGCATTTTCATCATTTTGGACAGGTGTTGCATAGAAGAAAACGTCTCTTAAGCAAATGTATAAAAATTAGGGTGACGTGATGGAGTTCGCTGTGGTCATTGTTGTTCCATCCATCACTTGGCACCATTATTTGTCTTAACCAAGACAACGAACTCTGCAAAAAGACAGAAGGAAAAACACCTGTGACATATCCGTTAGCAGGAAAAAAAAAACATCCAAAGAGGAATTTCACTGTGGTGCACGTGAATTTTTTTAATTTATTTTTTATACCATCAGCGCCAATCTTGCCGTCACCGTCGGTGTCACCGGCACCGAGGAAAGCCTTGGTCTCGGCGTCGTTCAGGACGCGTGCACCTGACTTGAAGTTCTGGAGGAACAGCCTGCAGACAGAGGTGAGCAGTGAGTTCACAGACCCAAGTTCTCATTGGCTAAGACATGCAATCTGACTGCAGAGAGTACAGTTTGCAAGTCAACTAAGGCATAAAAAAGCTGTTTTCTTTAGCTACATAAATAAAATCAAAGCAAAATATTCATTCAAAAAAACGACCCATACCTAACCGAAATATATCATTCTGGTTATATAAAACCAGTGCATGGGTTAAATATGGCTACACATAGCTTACTGTAGTCTACTGTTAGTGGCTGAATGGTTTTGTGCTTACAGCCTCCTGCCACTCATTATGATGCATCCAAGGTCAAATCAGCAACAACAGCAAAACCCTAACAACGCCTTTTGTATGAACTTTCTTACTTAAGCTCGTCCTCCTCAATGAAACCGCTCTTGTCCTGGTCAATGATGGCGAAGGCCTTCTTGATGTCATCTGCGGACTTGTCATGAAGGCCGCAGGACTTGAAGAACTTCTTGTGGTCGAATGTGCCGCCGTCTGAAAGTAGCGCAGGTTGTTACTGAAATTCGCACAAAGCAAGCGCAGCTGAACAAAAAAGAAGGTGAGTTGTGATCGCAGATGAGGGAATCACCTTTGCACGCATCCAGGGCTGCAGTGATGTTAGCCTCAACTAGTACACCTCCGAATGCCATTGTGAACTGGGAAAATAAAAATAAAATCCATTATTAAACTTTTAAAGTTGGGCTTAATGTCCATAGGTGACCATCCCAGGTTATTAATATTATTTTATTATTATTATTAATATTATTATCTTTTAGAACATTGGCAGCATCTGAAGAATCACACATCTGTAAGTTTGCTTCTTGCCAAAAATAATCTGAGCCACTCCAAATATGAAAGGGCAAATTATTCATTGCGCCTCTTTCTGAAGCTGCAACTCTAAAGATGCGAGTACGTCTGATCAGTAATCCATGTGGCCAACGATGATGACGCTCCGGCAAGAAAGCGCAAAACTCATCTCCTTTTTCTGATGCTGCCTCGCAGTAAGGAGTCCCGATTTAAAGCGTAATTAACAATAAATTAAAAAAGTAAAATAAATAAATAAATGTAGTGTTTTCTCAAAGATGCCAGGTGATGATGTGGCTCCCGGGTTTCCCTTCTCCTTTCCATTCAAACTCACCTCTTGTGTCTTTGCTTTGTAGGCTACGAATGACACAGACAAGACCCGAGTCGACTGCAGTGACCATCACGGCGCTCCGGGTGAGCTTTTATATGATCACGCCATCGAAATCTGAAGCATAAGATAACTGACACCGAGAAGGGGGATGCGAAAATGCGTCCCCTTAGCCAGAGAGCCGTCTATTTTAAGTTTCACAAATGAAGACGCTTAAAAGGTGCGTTTGAAGAAGTCTTTCATGTCCACTCAAAGCTAAGAATAGGCCCCAGCACTGCTGAGGAGGACGAATTGGAAGTGCTGCGGGCGGGGGACTGAGCATGCATGCATTAGAGCTGGCGTAAGTTGTACTAACTGGTTGTTTCTCCTCTTTTTGACGATTTAGAAGGCGTGGACTATTCACTGCAACAGTATGTGAAATATATTTGGCGACTTTGAGGGAAATTGTGGTTTTGATTTCTTAGCTGGAACAATGAAGGGTACTTCGTAAGATATATATGTATTTCACTCCTTTCAGATTCGCACAGATAGTCTGCCTGCCTAGCACATTGCTAAATACTTTTTAAAAACCCGTCTTACTTGTGCCGCATACGAATTCCAAATATCAGCCACGCCCGGTTTTACTGTCAAGTCCTTTTTGTTCCAAATATTTGTAAAAAGATTTATTAAATAACCAAATTAATTCAAGGGGACTCTCTGACTTTAGAAATATTCTTAAGTTTTCCTTAAAAATTCCATCTGCCATGTGTGATTACGATAGATATTCTAAACCCCTAAAGGCACAAGGGCATGCTCATGCTTTTAGACAAAGCATTAAAAATCAAAATGGGCAAAAAAAAAAAGATAATCACAGTCAGCTACTCTTGCTGAAAGAATGTGTTTGACCTGTAGGAGGCAGCAAAGTTCTGTGGCGTAAGCCTGGCAATTGTGAGGAAAAGGCAGACTGCTATCACTCAGAGTATTTCTGATTCCCCTGCTGTTAGACAACAATAACCTTATGGCGTCATCTGATAGGCTTGAGGTTTACATAATGCTGAATTCTTAGCTTACATTGGGATCGTAATTTGACTTTAATATGGAAACTGAGCTGTTCAAAATTCCATTCCAGGCTTATGCATATAGAATATTTTCTTCCTCAAAATGAGGTACACACCAGGTGCTGATAGAAGTTAAATAATGTATTAAAGACCTTCGGCTGATGTAGATGTGCAACTGTACAGTGGGTTCAGTGTGTTAAAAGTTCCTGCTGATGCAACAGTGACTGTTAATAGAACTCCTGTTGCCACAGCACATTATTTAATTGACTATGCAGCAGTTGGTGGAGGAGGAGACCTTGGAAGAGACAGCGTGGCAGCTATCCATTGCAAACCTCCCTAAGATCCCAGAAGCATGTGAGCAAAGCCCCATGGGCCCATTCCCACAGCATTTCCCAGTCCATGGCCAGAGTCCAGCCACACTCCACTATCTCATTAACCAATTATCCAAACAAGTGCTGGGCATGTTGTTTAGACCGTCACTCAACACCTCTGGAGTATTCAAACACCCTGGCAAATCAACAACTAATTTGAAACGGCCACTTCCTCAAACCATTGTGTTGGCATAGCTACGTCTGTGTGAATAGAGAGGGTTTTGGTTGACCATGCAAAAAACGACTGACCTGAACGAGATGACTTTACACCAAAAGAGTATTTATTCCTGGTTTTTCACTCTTCCTCAAAAAGTGCAGATGATGTTGTACAGTTTGCACAAGTCATTTTTTCAGAACATTTAACACATCTGAATAACAGTATCAGTAAAATATGTGCTCCATGTTGAGAAACAGTCCACAGGCAACTCATAAATAAGGTATAAAAAAATATTCTTTCAGCTGATGATTAGTGAATCTTGCAAGGAGTTCACAGTTCCATGAAAACAAGTGGATCTTGGTCAATGGAAATTTATGCCTTTACAAGGGCAGCAAACTCTGTGAAAGTAGAATAGAACTGCCATTAGTATTGGGAACAAAGTGGATTCAGGTTAGTGGTATAGTTTAAACTGACAGGAGCCATTCTCTGACTAAGGGTATGTCAATGGATGTTAAAAAAATTAAGCTTGTTTCTAACATCTGATTCGTGTAGGCTCTGCGGGTAACACTTCATATATATGATGTGTTCTGCTAAACTGAAAGATCTGTAGGAAAGTGCACCATGCTCCACAAAGAACCCTCACCATCAATTCCGATCTTGCCATCACCATCACTGTCACCAGCGGAGAGGAAAGCCTTGGTCTCCTTGTCAGTGAGTGCTCTGGCACCAGCAGAGAAGTTCTGCAGGAACAGCCTGGCGTGTGGACAATAAAAAGCAGCAGTTATTATTTATTATTTTCTTGTGAACCCTTTGGTTTTCTATGTTTTCATGTGTGAGATTTTAAGACTTAAATTGATGTGACAACCAAATGATCCATAAGAAAGTCATCAACAGCTTCTTTTTGGGGGCTTCCTTAGCAATAGTTACTATATTATTTGGCTTGTAGACTAAAGCCCAAGTCTATAAATAAATGACACAAATCACACTGATAAGATCGTGAATACTCTGGACCACTTAGGCTTGCAAGTATGAGATGCCAGCATTAAGTGTGAACTGCTGGAATTACTTACTTCAGCTCATCCTCCTCAATGAAGCCGCTGTTGTCCTGGTCAATGATTTTGAAGGCGTTCTTCACATCATCGGCAGTTTTTGCAGCCAGGCCGCTGGCCTTGAAGAACTTCTTGTAGTCGAAGGAGTCAGCAGCTAGAACACACATTTTAACTCAATTAGCGCCCAGCAAGTCTGCGCAAGCACAAGTCAGGACTTCATTGTTGATGCAATACGATAACTGTGACTGTTTATGCGACACAATGTGAAACTGAGACTTTACTGCTTTCTGACTGAAGCCAAGTTGCATCACTTGTTGGTGTTTTGAATCAAATAGCAGTAAAATATTCAACAAAGTTACATGAATAATGAAAAACTAGAACAGCTTGTTCACTGTGTGATGAAATAATGATAATGAATGCTCACCTGCGCAGCCATCCAGAGCTGCTTTCACTTCAGCATCATTGAGGACACCAGCAAATGCCATTTTTTAATCTTAGAGAGGGAAAAAAGACAAGATAACTGGATTAGTATGGTCATTATAAGTCCTATGCAGTGGTCATACTATTGGATTATAGATCATTTTTCAATTCTCCAACTTAACTGGACAATTTGACCTATTTTGTTTTGACTACATTACAGTGAACCTAACTATATGATGTGAGTAATCATAAATAAAACACAGGAAGGGTAAAATCAGACATTAGTCAAAAGCTTAAACAAGGATTAATCCACAATAAAGCAAAGCCCCCTTTTACTTTATGTTGGTCACGAATCAACTCTTTTCCTTAATCCAAAGTCTACCATGCAGCTCTACCCGTCCCGATTAATATAAACAACTACTCTTAAGAGCTGCTCTTCGCCTCCGGATGTTTAATCACAACACGGCACTGACTGTGTATCCCAAAGCGTTTTGCTGCTATGGCACGAAATAGATGATGCTTCCACCGAGAGACCAAATCACGGCAACATGAATCACTGACACAAATAAACAAAGCACCGGTGACGTCAAGCGCGCCAATAACCCTAGGTGTGTTATCATAGCATTTCTTTTATCCCGTTAAAAGAGATAATGTAAATAACAATATTCATCCACAAACGGCGCTCTTCTGAAATCTTTTGGCCTCCTTTGCGCGCTAATTGAATTATCCTGTGGTCCATGAAGTTGTTGGCTATGTTTGTTCCAATTCTCTCTATAGTTTATAGTCCACGTGGATCTCCTTGTCTGAATCCCCTTTTCCCCCTTCCAGTGTAGAAGTCGGTGTGGCGTTCGTCCGCATCCCCGCACTCACCTTTGCGCTGAGTTGAGGCGAGTGAAAACCTAGGCGGACTCGAGTGAATGCCACGAATCCCCTTTCCCTCTCTCTTATATATCCTTGAGCAACACCATTTACAGACCTTTGAGTCCCAGTATCAGGTACCAAGATCCATGGGTTTCGAAAAAATGTGTCTAGTAGTCCAGACCTATTTTTAGGTGAACAAATGAGGATGCTACCATGTGTGAGTGAGGCCTATAGCTAGACATGTGTAACTCGAGCATGCCCGCTGCTACCCGACTTCACTGGCCATGTTGCACCTATATGATTTATTGCCAGCATGCTGATTTTGATTCAGAACGTTTCCTCTACGAGCATAAATTAAAGGAACTGATACATGTGAGGGTGCAGGTCATCCTTATTTTGATTTGTGAGAACCATGTAAAGTAACACCAACCAATTCAACTTCCTACTTTAAACAGGATAACCTTTATTAACGTCACTATAAGCCTTCACTATGAAGAGAAGACCACTGGAAAGGACTGCCTTTTAAAACACCTTTATTTTTGATTTCCATGTCAATATGATCACAGAGCCATTTTCTCCTATGCCTTTTAGACTTCTGATAGTGTTTATTTCTACCGTGTTTTCTCTGGCATCATATACTCCAATCACATGCTATATAAACCCACAGTGAGTCCATACAGTCCATTAACAGAGCTGTTTTATGATAAATCTTTCCAGCAATATTTAATACTCGTGGTTGTAGAGTGGCTGTGGCTCTTGGGCGACTTATAACTAGATTTACACAAATTCCAGGTTATTTTACATAAATGCAATCTTTTTTCCTTATATTATTAAGAGTTTCTTATTTATTGGTGTCAGGCTTTCTATTCTTGCCTCTGAAGTTGCAACACCAGGCAAGATGGTCTCAGATGATAGACATGTGCAGCTTCTGCCTATATGCTGTCCTGTAACATTAACTAGCTATACCTAGTGTATAAGCTACAGCACAGTATACACAAGGTTCATCTGAACTCTTCACGAAGTGTTGAGTTTCAAACTAAACCACCACCTTATCAGGGTTGAGACTTTGAGGCCTATTTTTTTACATGCTGTATGATTGCAAGCATGACAGTTTTCCATGCTATCCTCAGTAGTTACACCAGCATGTGTCTGTGAATAACATCCTTATAAAGCTTAAACCAAAGACTGCTGATCT